GGTTTAAGGGTTGCAGCGAAAGGGGCCTTAATAACCAGAGTACGGTACAACTGCTTTAAAGGCTCTAGGATTCTAGGAAAGTTAAAACTCATCATATGTGTAGCCGGGTTCCGTTAAGGCCTTAAAGTTTCAAGGCTCTGGAAAGGCTTAATGTTGCACTAGTAGGAGGACGGGTCCTTCGAAGCTTTGAAGGTTCTAGAAAGGTGTTACTTGCATACTAAGTAGACTGGGGTTTGTGCAGGGGCTCAGAAAGTATGAGGGATTGAGTATAGGAGCTTTAATTAGACTAGGATTCCTTTAAAAGGCCGTATAGAAAGCTTTAGTGTGACTGAGGGGTTGCGTAAAAAAGGTTTTACAATTTTGATTAGGGTTCCGCTGAAGGGTTTTGTTCAGGGTTCTATAGGATGCCCAATAACCTAGGAATAAAACAGGCTACCTTTTTGGTATTGGTAACTTTATAAGGAAACTAGGACGACAGCAAGGGAGTAAGGGTAGTACTGGGCATCCTAGTAAACGGAAAGCGGGTCCTATCCGTGTTTATACTTGAAAAGGGGACAAAGGTTTTCATAAATACAGTTTGGCTTTATTCAAGGGTCTTCCCCAAGGGTTTACAAAGGCTTAGTGTAAAAGGCTGAATAGTGTGGACTTACTGCATGATTCCGTGCTTTACCTCAAAATGCAAGGGACCTAATCATTGGTTACGTGGGCTTGGGATAGTAAGACTCTGAGTATGAAGGCTTCTTTACAGGCCCTGTGCTCTACAAGGGTTTCATGCATGTATCGCTTTATGGGCTTGACTGATTAGAATAAACTTTGGGGACTACAATGAAGGATTACTTCTCATCGTTCAAACTTCCGTGTGAATCCGCTGAACTGTCTACTTTACCCTGAACGCTAAGGGCGAGACACGTGAACAGATACCTTTGTAAAACCGGAGATTGCGGAAATGAGAGTCGTGCTTCAAGCTCCCCACCCAACGGGCATCCCAGGAACCCCTGTCGAAACACAGATACCGCTTTCCGTTTTGCTTTTCTCACGGTCCATGTCGCTATATAGTATACACTGTATACACCTGGACATTCAACGGATGGAAGTGCATGGACTCAACACTCGAAGCGTGAGGCCCCGTTGGGCTTGGTGCCACATGCTTCCAAAATGTCGGGACCACTGTATTGTCTGTCTAGACCCAAAGCCAGCCAACCTTAAAACCCACACGAAAGTTCTAGAACCCGGCCTTTGGTATTTATACGGAAAACGTACAAGGAGGTTTTGGTTTTCAATATAAGCCTTAGGGGTGAGATCCTCGCAACTCTTGCGATGGACAAAAACTCTCCAAATCCATAGTCAAGAATCTACAGTATGTATCTATGTCTGTGTGTATTTATACACTGTATGTGTATGTACACAAGTAAACTTATAGCTGCCGTTAGCAAACCGCCCCCTTACCACGTCCAAGCCTTCAACCCTCTATAGGCCTTACACCGCACATCCGGACCGCGAAATGGGCCTAGGGCGGAGGCATCCGCGGCTGCAGCCAGTGTGATCACACTTCCTGCTTCCGCTTCGTCGAAAAAATTGGGACTTGTAGGCTTTGCGTTTAAAACCGTAAACCCGAAAGCCGAAACACTTAACGGACTTGCTGTAGCGTACATTGCAGGATACTAAGATCCCAAGGTATAGACTTCAATAAGTAAAGTAGAGGTCGTGCTGCTTTTGCAACAACAGGAAAAATCACCCATCACCTAGTCTGCAAGGGGCACGACAATATACTCTCACCACCATCCCAATGAACAACAGCAACACAAGTCAAGTCCTTCCAGCTGCTGCTCCCGCAACTGCTGGAACCTCATTTTCGCAGCTTCGGCACCCAACCGTTCAGTGCCGTGGAGACTCGGGGTAATCCGAAAGGAAATGAGAACGTTGTTTGACGACATGTACCCGACAGGGGGGAGACTGTAGAGATCAATTGACATTTAAAGCGTATAAACATTGAACTGTATATGGCCCTTGGGATGTAGCTGATGTGGGTCGAAGGCCAAAGAATCAAATCTAGTAGTTGGGACAACTCTGAACCCACTTTCGAAAGGAGGGACCCCGTTGACTTTAAAATCTAAAATGCACCATGCTTTCTGGCTTTTGGGGTTTGTAACTTCGGTCCTGTAAAGTCTAGGCTAAGGTCTAAACGAAATACATCCAACGGGTCAGACAACTGCCACAACGGTGGATCAAACTGCTGACTTCGCATTGCGGTCTCGTGTAACATGTCTTCGCTGTAAATCCTGAGCGGTGAAGCCCCTTGCTCATGCCGGTGCTAACCGAGATACAGCAGCAGCGCTTCCTGTCAACGGCCAGCGACGGCGCTTCCCGGGTTAGTGTTGAAATAGGGCTGGAATACCTTCCACTTGAGGGTTCCGGACAGATACGCAGTACGGTGTACACCGAGGTTGAAAACGAAGCTCTTGAAGTGCAACTCGCAAGACGAGATTGAATCGATACGTAGATGAAGATAAAAACTATCATACAAAAAACACAGACACCTCAACATGTCAGTGAGCGTTGCTTCGTGACGGGATGCATCGAGTGTGCTGCTCTTGCATGAATACTGTGGCCGGCCCAAATTAATTACTTCATAGTGTCGTGCAACGTCGCAAGGCCGACGAGAAGTGCTCCTTGTCGGCGTTAAGAAAAAGCACATGCTTCCATCACTGCACTTGCGCGCATGCTTTCAGCATGTTGTGGTACAGGCACCGCCTTCAACCGGAGCCCCAACCTCCACATTTCAATGTACCAGCACCAGGTTCAACACAATAACTACCCACATGACCCATCCCTCGTAGCTGGTGCAGCTCTGACGGTCCCCGGTTCAGGTTCAGGTTGCAGAAGGTTGGATGAAACCACCGAGCCCAGTACGCAGTGCAACGTACTGTTGCTTTCACTATAGGCGAGCATGGGAGGGCGCCCGGCACTCTGGCTGAAAAACATCTAGTTTCAAGCTCCATGTTCCGGGTGCATCGAAATTCTGTTTGGATACCGCGCTGGTCAGCTTCCTCTCATCATGTTCGAACGACCGATACATGTTTCCGTTCGCTCCTGAAGATTTCGCGGCTTCCGGGCAGAAAGACCCAGCAAGGTGCTTGGGCAGTCTAGACAATGCTCATGTTGAGCTCCTGCTGCGAGCTCCTCCTAAACGTCTTTTGCAATAGGCTGAATGATCGAATGAACCCGTAACGGACTATGTAGCTATGCTGAATACACATGCTTGGGCCTTGAAAGCGTTGCTTTGCAAGCAATGACTGTAAGACCTGCGAAAAACAACAATGTGCACATGAAAACGTAGGTACAGTACACAGACCCTTAGTCGGCTTAGGCGCCTGTGCATCATCACATAAAGTTGTCATGATTCAAAGACTGACAACAATAACGTTCATCATCATATCGAAGATATGAGGGCTTGCTCCAAAGCCTCGAGATTCACTGAGGGTTTGACGGTTCACGGTGGGGTGGGGCCGTACTGGAAAAGGCGGACACTGATGAGATAGAAGTGAGGTCATCCAAGATCTAGGAACCCAAATCTAAACATAATACGATGCATCCTGATTATGAGGAGGCAGACATAGGGAATTCTGAAAACTAAGAAGCCCCCTCCCTTCCTGTCTGAAAAACAACTTAGTTGCTGAGTTCACAAGCACCAAAAAGTGAGATTTATAGTGGGTGATATTATCCCAAAAAACGTGTATCCACTCAGCTACTTAGACAAATCGGGCACCCGGCACTGTGGACTGTAACGCATGGCAGCTTTGGGAAGCGAAGCTGCGAGTTTCAGGGATTAAGGGCATCATTACTCACCTGCCTACCTACCTGTGTACCATGCGCACATGGCTCCGGAAACCTGACGTCCTGAACCCCAATCCCTGGGCATCAAACTAGCCCAAAAGCCTTGCATAGTATGGTCTTTCCTGGGGATCCAAAAACCTACCGTTTTAGGGGTCAGACCCTGTAATTAAGAGTGTCATAACCTACTACGGTGAAGTACTGCGATGAGAAATTTTATCAATTAAGAAATTAGAGTCTGAAGAGGGAACAAATTTAGAAATCCAGACTCTGGATTATGGATTGAAACTTTATTGTAAAGGATTCTGAGCCCTGGCAATGGCCCCAAATTCTAGAACACTGTCCTGGGTAGGTTTTCGCTGTAAATGAGCCCTTGGAAAAATGCACCAAGTCCTTTGTAAATGAGCACTTGTGAAGCAAAAAAAGACCTAGAACAATGTCCTAGGTGCGTTTTCGCTGTAAATGAGCCGAAAAACCTATAACACTGTCCTAGGCGCGTTTTCGCTGTAAATGAGCCGTTGGAGAGCCCTGGCAATTGCCCCAAATCCTAGAACACTGTCCTAGGTAGGTTTTCGCTGTAAATGAGCCCTTGGGAAAATGCCTCCAATCCTAGTTCCTTTGTAAATGAGCCTTTGGAGAGCCCAATCGCTGTAAATGAGCCGAAAACCCTAGAACACTGTCCCAATACAAACCCACCTTTAAGAAAGTCTTTTTCAGAGTCTGGACTGATCCCGACTTTCTTATTCCGAACTGCCAGGTTAAGAAATTTCCTGACCCTCGCTTCCGAAGGACGATTTCTTATCAAAAGCCTCGATCGTATTTTGTAGGGTTTGGCAGGTTGGGCCCCTTTTAATTTTAGGGAATAGAAACTAAAACCAAAGAAAGCTACAAGGACTTGGGCAGTCATAGACACACATACGTAGACCAACATACAATCATGGACACAGGCACAGGCCAATCTTTGTAATCTGCTTAGATTTAGTTATATGGTTTAACTAAATAGAAGAATAGACAGCCAGACAGATAGATTAGATAGCTAGGCAGACAGCGAATAGATAGACAGATAGATAGACACAAAGAGGCAGAGACTAGACAGACAAACAACAAACAGCTACGAAAGACTAGGTTAGACTAAACTAGGGTAGGTTAGTTAGATTGATTCAGACAGGTTAGTTGGGCCTAGCTCAGGTTAGCTTAGAACAGCCTGGATAACTAGACAGATGGATAGATAGAGAGAGAAATAGAAAGAACAAAACATAGACAAATTACACAGATAGATAGATTGGCAGATCGTTCGCTATTCAGCTATTCCCTGCTTGCATCTTCCACGGCTTACGAAGCGCGGCCATTGCAGTGTAGAGGATATTTTTACAGGAAGCCGCTGCAAGGATGTACTTAGTGGGTCCTAGGTTGCGAGGATTTAAGATTCAATTACTATACGTGGCATCAGAACTGGGATCCAGTCATACTGTAACATTAACCCAGGGGGGGCCACATACACCACAGGCCCCAAAAGACCATCCTCATTATGCTTTTCTACTTTGAATTCCAAAGCAGTGGTTAGAGAACACGTAGAGTAAGCCCTGGAGGCCAGTAACGGCATGAAACCTGTTCCCGAATCCCATACCCGAAGGGTCCAAGTACCTAGTTATCAAATTTCTCCGAAATACTAATGCCTACATAACTACTGTCCTAAACCCAAGTACCGTATTATTGGGTCCTTTGGACCCTTGGGGGATACGACCCACCTTCGTAGGGTTCCTCATGATGATTTCCTATACAAATCCTGAAAGTAGGGCAGGTTTGGGGGATCTATGTGGTCATTGCGGAGTAGGTTGCGGGGTTCAGGCTTGAAAGCAGCTATACATAACCCTGTGCTGAAAACCCTTTCGACTTGAAGACTTGCCAGATCTTCCAAAGTCCCGCAGGCAAGGCACATGTCTCAAGTCATGTTCGGGATCCTACCCCCAAAGGGTCCTAAGTACTGTTATGGGGGCAGACTTCCCCAATTCATAACAGTAACTCCTAATATAAAAACCCTACATTCTACCGCTTGGGTGAACCCTAAACCACAAAGCCCTAAACCCTGCTGGTACTATATAGATACTTTGGACCCTATATAGATACTTTGGACCTTTGGGACCCTAACTTAAGGCATGATCGAGGGTTCAGGGTTTCAGGTTTCTGCAAGGGTTTGGAGTTCCGAGGTTTAAAGGATATTGGAAACCCTAAACCCCATACACTCCTAAAGCCCTAAACCATAAACCCCTGAAGCCCTAAACCCTAAACCCCTTGAAGCCCTAAACCCTAAACTCTTATTAAAGCCCTAAACCGTCAACGCTCAACCCCTGAAGCCCTAAACCCCAAACCTTATTAAAGCCCTCAACCCTAAAAGCCCTAAACCCTAAAACTCTAAACCCTTAATGCCCTAAACCATAAAAGCCCTAAACCCTAAGACCCCTAACCCTGGATGATCTGGGTTGGAGCTGGATTTGGAGCAGTCCTGCCAGCGCCCCACTTGCTGGCAGGCTGCGATGGCTGCGTTGTGAGCCACGACCTTTGCCAAGCCCATGGAGGGTTTGGGGTCTCTACCCTAAGCCGTAAACCCTAAACCCTCAAACCCAAAACCCTTAAAGGGAATCCTAGGCTTATAAAGCTTCTGTATAGGCTCCGTTAGGCTTGGAGTCTCTTTAATTATCCCTTGCGAGGGTCTCTCAAGAGTCTCTCAAGAGGGATCTATAGGGGTTCCTTAAAGGGTAGCACCAGGGCCCCCCTTGGGGTTAGGGTTTGGGGTCCTTTACAAAAGGTCCTCTACGGGTTGAGGGTTTTGGGGGCCTTTGAGGGGTCCTTTGAAGGATCTATCTTCAGCGTTTGGGTTCCGTGTAAAGCTTATGGGGTTCCTTGGAGGGATCCTTCAAAAGAGTCCTGGGGTCTCTTTAATGGGGTCTTACAAGGAGCTATAGGGGTTCCGTTAAGTCGGGATCGATAACCCTCAGGCTCCAAGGACTAACATTTTGAGGCTCCCGAGCCCCAGTGCGGGCAGCCGGCTAGAGGATGAAGAAAGGCTGAAACTCGAATTTAATCCGAATTAAAATTGAAATTCAACCATATTCCATACTATGTAAGACTTTTGGGCTATTTTGAGCATTAGGATACGAGAAACCCCAAATCCCACAGCCTAAACCATCCAAAAACCTGGACAAACCGTGAACCCAAAACACTTTAACCATCAAGAAAGGGCACGTAATCCAGATCAAGGTCTTGCGGTTTACCGGTACCCCGACCCGATGGGCGTTGAAAGCCGAAGCAATACAGCGCTAATCCTTTCAGCGTTGCCACCGCAACTGCAAACTCCACACCCAAAGCCTCTGCACCCTAAACCCGTATTTTTCTGCCTTAAAGCTCTACAGGTGACAAACCTCCCCAACCCCCAAACCCCAAACCCCCTACACTCCCCCAAATCCTAAATTCCTGAATCCTTCCATGTGCCCATATGCTGTATACTTTGGCTCCAAAGTACCTTTATGGTATAGTTATAGGGAGCACTTCAAGGCCAATGCAAATACCATGTAAGTGTGTGGACTATACCCTAAACCCTCAGAACCCCGTAAAGGGTACATGCACCCTCCTACTTGGAGGGTCGGGAATTAGTAAGTTATGGTACTTATCAGCCTATGAAAAACTACTTACGTACTAAGTCCCCGACCCTCCAAGTAGTCTATGGCACCTGCTTAGATCCCCCAACCACCCTCTAATATGTGCCAAACACCCACTATGGAGGACCATTGGGGCTTCGTTAAAGCGCCCTTGGGGGGTCCTGGCAGGGTGTAAGCTTATTGGGTTAAGGAATATTCCTTAAATCATATCCTAAGGCTCAAAATAGCCCAGAAGCCCTATATGGTATGGACTTTGGGCCCCAAAGCCAGAAAACATGAGTCCTTAGAGCCTGAGGGATATAGGGGATCCTACTATACAGTTACTATAATTTTTTGGGATATTGGAGTCTGGGTTCGGGCCAAAGCGACGTTCGGGCGCAGGTTCCCGCTGCAAAGGCGCCCGAAAAGTTCCAGCGCCCAGGACCATTCAGAGGCCTTCCTGCGCGTTTCACGGGGCTTAAGGCTTCCTCCCAAAGGGTCCTTTGCACTGTTATGGGGGATACTTCCCTAAGTCATAATAGTAATGCCTAATATTTGGATTCCCATAAAGGTTCCTATAGAATGGTTTGGGGTTTGCGGCTTGCGGTCGAATCTAGCGGCTCTATACCAGGAATCGCGACTATGATTTGGGGAAGTATATCCCATAACAGTACCTAGGACTCTTTGGGAAAGCGTGCTAAGTGCCACATAATAGCAGGAATTACTACTGCGGCTTGAGGAAGAACACCCATACTGCGCCAGGACGAAAGTTCGTCGCATCCGGTAGGTCTGCTAACAGATACTTGCAAACCCCTTTCCCCCATAGACTCCTTCACGAAATCGCGATGTCAGGCAAGGACGTCACTAATTCCTCCGTCGGAACAAAAAAACAGTGTATGTTTATTTTGGCATGGAAATTCCTCCGCTAGCCAGGCCACGTAACATGCACTTCTTCGTACTCCGAGTCCTCCGCCAAGCGAAGACATCTTAGTGCGACAAAACTTTCATCCTGCTGATGTATAATATAAGTGCGTAAGAATCCGTGGGATAAGGGGTTTGGAATAAACGGAGTGTGGGGTTTAGGGTTTAGGAAACTGTCAGACGCGGTGTATGACGTTTTCCGGGTTGAATGGCTTGAAACGACATAGCCCTAAACCTTAAATCCCAAATCTAGGGCTCATATCTTTTTTCGGGTCTTTGCGTCTCTAGGATTGAAAGCTCGGGACTTCGGTACAGTACGGTTCAGGGTTTGGGGGTTTTCGGGGGTTTGGTGCTTCAGAATCAAGGTTCAGGGTTTAGGGTATAGGGTTTTTGGGGCTCAGGATTGGGAATCACGATGCGGGGTTTCAGCTTTAGGTACAGTGTATACCTTAAGGCTCCTGGACGCTAGTAGTGAGATCCCGGACCCTAGCCCCCAAAGCCGAGTCCCTCCCCCAGAGAGCCCAGGACCCTCTTCGGAGCCTCAGGGTAGACTCCAGTACCCTAAACCCTAAACCCCTAAACCCTAAACCCCTAAACCCCTAGACCCCTAAACCCTCTTTGGAGCTTTAGGGCCCGGCCTGGGCCCGTCATACTTAGCTCCGTAAGGGTGGGTCCAAGTGCCCAAATAGTAATAGTAGGGTTTGAAAGTCCAAAATCCATTCAGAGTATGGATGTTGGAAGCCCTCTGCGAAAAATACGAAACTTAAACCAAACCCTGAGCCTCAATACTGCTAGAAACACAGACTCCGATTCCAAGCCTTTTGCCAAAATCCGAACTCCATGCCCTTATAACAGCTAGGATGCCCAGCAACCTAGGAATAAAAAGGGCTCCCTTTTTTGTATTGGGTACCTTTATAAGGAAACCACGACTACAAAAGGGAAGAAGGGCACTACTGGGCATCCTAGACAACAAAGTGCAAGCTCCAATTCAAAATCATGCACCCTAAGCCCACCTAAAAAATTGAATTCGAAGTCTTAATGCTCAACTGAACCCTTAAAACATTTCTCAACCCTAAACCCTTACAGCCCATCTCAACCCTGAACCCTTGCAACACATCCAAGAATCTGAATAACTAAACGGGAGTTTCCGAAAATAGGGGACCCTAATGTAGCACCCCATATAGTAGGATCCTTATTATAAGGACCCTAGAAGAAGGTACCCCTAAGTTTCGGAAACTCCGAAATGACCGCACTTCGCAGGCGAAACTCTCGCAGGCACTGATGGCAGCGGCAAACGTGATGACATCCGCCTTTGCGTTGAGGGCTTTAGGAGGGGCTGAGGGCTTTCTAGGGCTTTGGGGCTTTGGGGTCTAGGGCTTCGGGCTTTCGAGAGCTTTAGGAGGGCTTTGGAGTCGGAGTTTAGGGTTAAGGTGTTTTGGATGTTTGGATTCCGGGTTCACCCTAAGGGTCCTAACACCTTAGGGAACCTCAAAATGTAGGATTTCTGAGACCCCAAAGAGACCCAAGGGCTCTCCCTAGGAGATTCCGGGCCCTCGAGATACATGGACCCTTAGGGCATGTTCAGAAAACCCCGAATCATTCGGTAAGGGTGCTCGGCTTCGTGTTTCAGGCCCACAACCCACATATTTGCACATGCTTCGAGGGTAGCCATACATATTGGGTGCTTGAGGATTTAGGACATATATCTTGCTCCACCTATAACCCTACATTGCACTACCATAAGCTGCCTTCTTGCAGCTTCTCACCATAAACCCCAACAAGGTATTTGTAGGGACCCTGCAAAAAAAGTAGGTTCTGGTAGGTTAAGGTATATCCTATCGCTGGGGAGCCCCTTTTACAACCCATTTGTTGGATCAGAACTCCCAGGCTACAAGCCCTAAAACCTGAACCTTCAACCCGAAACCCTAAAGCTTGCACCCTACAGCCCTTACGGTCCCTAATAAAGGGTATTTAGGGCATATTAGAGGGTAGTCGGGCAAATAAAGGGTATTTAGGGCATATTAGAAGGTAGTCGGGCATTCTAAGTACACCCTAAACCCTAAACCCAACCATTTTCGCACGATGTCCTGCGCTGCAATCGAGCAAGAGAGAGCAGAAGACCAGCAGTAGAAATAAGACCAATCCGGCTTCGACAACTTCCAGGACCCCTCCAACGGCTCTTTAATGGAGCCCTTATAGTCCTTAATAGTGGGCACTTAGGGCATATTAGAGGGTAGTTGGGGAATCTAAGTTTTGATCCCTCCTAGCCAAACAAAGGTCAACCTAGTGGATGAGGGGGTTTGGGTATATGGTATCAATTCCAAAAAGTTCTGGTACGGTTGAAGGCTTGCCGTGGAATAGCGCGGTTGCAATAATATCTTGTGACAAGGTTGTGTCGAGTGCAACGTACTGTGGCCACGAGCTGCGACAGCCTGTCTAGCTGCTACTGATATAATGGCTAAACCACTCAGCTACTACGTTACTCCCCCTCAAGCCCAAACCCGAACAGCCCCACCTGCCCTGTTATGGCGGATACTTCCTCAATCTTTGTAGTAATTCCTAACATAGAAACCCTAAACTCTATTAAAAATTACTTAGGAACCCTTCAAGGAATCCTAAACCCTTAACGAAACCCTACATTCTACTGTGTAGGTACTTTGCACCCTCTGCGCCTGCAAGTTGGAGAGCACCTCGCCCAAGAGAGCGAGAGCTCTCAGCCATTCAGCACCCTTTTCACCTTCACAGGTGCTCAAAAGGAGGACTGAAGGTACCAAAGTGGCCTTATCAACTAGAATAGGGCTCAAGTAGGGTATCATTACACTATAATCTCGCCTTCAACTGGCTTTTCATAGGTGTACAAAAGGACAACTGAATAGGGCTAATTGGGGTATCATTAGACTATAACTTCACCTGCAGATGAAGGTCAGAGTCGAACCGCAACGACAAGTTCTTACATACCCAAAGGGTCCAAAGTAACTATGTAGTAGAATGAGGGTTTCTATATTAGGAATTATTATTATGACTTGGGAAAGTGTTCCCCATAACAGTACCCAGGACCCTTTTGGGATGAGGGATCTTAACACACCTTCACTTATTTCACACGTTGAGACTCTCCTCACCGTCCTAAGTGCCCTGTGACGTTTGACAGCCCATTCGCGGTCCAGGAAAGTACATGGTGAGGGTGACTATAAGCCCCTTACACCCATGATATACAACCCTAAACCCTAAACCCTAAACCCTAAACCCTGTTGAACAGCCCCTTGGGTTTCATTTGCAGCAAAAACGGAAACTATATTCACACAGGTTAGGAGTTTGCGCACTCTTACAACTAATCTAATCACCCAGTGGGTCCATATTCACTACTATTATTGAAGATCAATGCCATAATAGTGGTATATATGGACCCTTATACCCTATACCCTTATAGAAGCCTTTCGAGGAGCCCTTAAAGGAACCCCTTTAAAGGGATTCAGTAACTGCATCAACCAAGTCACACGCGCTGATGGCCGCGTTGCAAGTGATGAGGTTCCGCTCCAGTCTCCCTCAGTTTTTAAAGTGTACCCAGATCTTACCTGGGATCCTACCATACCTTTATACGGTATACCTGGGGATGAAAAAACCTGCTGTTTTAGGGGTTATGCTCGATTAAGGGGTCACAACAACAGTTTTGTAGGGTTTGGGGATACAGGTAAGCCTTAATTAAGGGATGGTGGAAGATCTGGGCCGGATCTGCCGAGATAAACACAGTGGCCCCAACTGTCTCCGTTGGACGTGCAGATCTGTCTGTCTGTTCGCCTCTAGCCTATCTACCTGTATCACATATACACTGCAATCTATATGTACACATATATATATATATATATGTATATAGAGACCTCTAGAGTTAGCTCGTCACGTATTTATGCCCGTTCATCATGTACTTCCATCGGCTTGCTCCACTTGTGCCCTGGACTAGTCTGAACTGCTCATCAATCATTCGCTGCGCCTTGGCACTGAATCGCTACGTTGATGCTTTACGGTCTAGAGATGTCTTGAGTCTAGGATTCAGGATTTTGGGTACAGGACTCACAGCACCTGAAGCCTCAGGTCCAAACTCAGTTCACGTAGACCCCTCAACTACCCTCTATTATACCGTAACTACCCACTACTAGGGACCATAAGGGCTCTACTAAAGGGATCCTGGCAGTGAACTCGAAGCTTCCAGCCCAAGACCACCCCCAATCATCTGAACCCTCGCTCTGAGAGATGCCACAGGGTCCACCTTAAGGCTCCTGGACCCTTGTAGTGTTAGGGTTTAGGGCTTCAGGGTTTAGGGTTTAGGGCTTCAGGGTTTAGGGTTTAGGGCTTCAGGGTTTAGGGTTTAGGGTTCTACACTATGGCTCCTGGACCCTTGTAGTGAGATCCCGGACCCTAGCCCCCAAAGCCGACACGCTCCCCCACAGAGCCCAAGACCCTCTTTGGAGCCTTAGGGCACCAAACAACGGTGAACCTTGAAGACCTTGCAGCCCCCAGGCCTTCAACCCTACAGCAGAAGCCTAAAAGTTGGAAACCCGATAGCCTCAATCCCTAAGAGCAAAGTATAGGGAATCCCAGCACGATTTGTCCTTAACTAGGTTTCCAAGCTTACAACAAACCCCCCAAGCCCTCAACCGAGCGTCTTTCGTCGATGTCTGCGAGGAAGCTTAGCGCGAGGAGCCAAACTCCTCCCTTCTCGCAGGCACTGATGACAGCTCCGTAGCTGATCCTGGGATTTTGTGCTTAGGGGTTTAGGGGTTCGGGTTCAGGGGTTTAGGGTTTAAGGTTAAGGAATCTACTTTAAGTTACCATAATAAAGATCTGTAGTAACTAGCTCCGTAACTGATCCTGAGTTCTGGTTAAGGAGTGCAATTTAAGTTACCTTGATAGGAATCTATAGTAAGTAACATGGTTTCTTCAATATGGTAACTAGGATCCTTCGTGTCTTGCGGGCTCCTCAACCCTAACCCCCTGAAAAGGTTCGGCTCTAGGTTCAATTTTACAAGGCTCATGGCTTTCGCGCTTTGAGGTCTTTATTAAGAGGTTTAGGGTTTAGGGTTCATTAAGAATGTGAAACTTGAGGGTAAAGGGCCCTAGGGGGGCTAGCAGCGGCTAGCATTTACTGTTTAACGTCAAACTCTGTTGACGGCCAGGCCACTATTCCGTCATGCAAGTAATTCTCGTTCCCCAAACTCATCAACCCAATAGAACGCAGCCCCAGGTTTGTTGTCAGGAAGCCCAAACCACAAGGCAACTCTCATAAGAAAAGCACCCTCCCCAACCTTTGACCTCAACACCCTACCCATATTGACCTTATAAAACGAACCCAGAAACCTGAGATTAAAAAAGTGTACCACTGAACAGCCTGGTTGAAATCTGTCTAGACTCTCGACCCTCAAAGCCCGAAGCCCTCAAAGCAACAAACCCCGAAACCCTCACGAATCCCTATGGAACCCTTACAGACACAAGGAATGTAGACACGTGACTTTTTCCGCTCTCTGTTAGATGCGCTAATATCTTCCTCATCTATCAAGCTCGGGTGTTAGGGTTTAATCTGCCAAGCACAAGCCTCAAACCTAAACCCAAACCAGCCTAAGCTCTAAACTCCAAACTCTGCAACCCTAAACCCCGACCCGGAGCCCTGAACATTAAACAAACTAACTTTGACCCTAAAACGTGATGGGAGACCAAAGGGGGGGTTGAGATTCTTGGGGTAGGGATTCCTTTATATGAAACCGATTATGGGTACCCTAACCCCTACTAAACCCCCATAGGCTAAAACCCCTTTTGGCCTCCTATGAAAACCGAAAATCCCTTAACCTTACACCCAGCTGCCGAGCGGCACATTGGTGCGAAGTTGCTGTAGATGGGCCTCCTCGACGCAGAAATCAAGAAATGCCAAAATAGTAGAGGTACTTATTTAGGCCCCTAATATGTCGTAGTTTTGGGGTTTATGGTTTGGGGCTTCGGCTTTAGGGCCCCTTCAAAGGTTTCGTTTAGCACTCCTTCAAGGATTCCTTTGTAAGGCTCCCTAGAAGTTTAAACGCTTCGTTTAGGGGTTCCTGTAAGGATCGGATGTGTTCTATAGGGATGCCGCTACTACTTATATAGTCAAACCTCTATACTGCCAACAACCGGATGCAACGGAAAGTTTGAGGTGCAGGTTTATTTATACAGTTCAAGGTTACAAACAGGTCTCAGCGTTTAGGACCAACAGCTAACGGCATCTTGGCTCATGTCCTGACCGATACACACTCTTGTCTCTTGTTCCTTATGTCTGACAACCCCGCTTGTGAATATCCCACGAACAACATAAAGTCACCCAGTCAACCCCTACTGCTGCAATATGTGGGATTCGGGAGCCCAAAGCCGTGCCTCAAATAGCTGCAGCGCGTCTTGCCAGCGACTTGCTTTCTCACAGGCACTCATGGTGGCATTGTATGCAACAATGTTGGTGTCCTCCAAGATGTAGCAGGTGTGGTAGAGAGCTTCAGGCTTATTACTGTGCTGTCCTTTGAGGTTGGTGTCCTCCATGGTTTAGGCTTCCCCCACAACGCGGTTCGAGAATATACTGCTGAGAAGAAGATGGCCTCCGGACTAAGGCTTGCAACCATTCGTACTCTGGGCTCTGAAAGATGTATGTATATGGGTGGTTGGCAAAATTAGGGTCCCTTTTTGGGTACCCTACATATTAGGGGCCGTATTATAATAAGGACCCAAAAAGGGACCATAATTTCGACAACCACCCCTATATATGTAAAGACATATATTCGTTCATTCCGTTCCGTAAAGGATATTGGAAGATCTAGACCTGGGATACTACTTGGCATAGTATTCCCAAAGGGTCCAAGTATCATTCTGGTATAGACTTATACGACATTTTGGGGGTCTAAATATATACCATGATGATACTTGGACCCTTTGGGATTCAGGGGTCAAGGTTCCGGGCTTCAAGCTTGGGCTTTGGCTTCTTCGGCTTGCTAGGAGTTGAACTCACGGACATTCTTGTGCTGGGTGTAAATTATGGCAGTAACAGTGGTCGGGTCGTTAATTCCGCTAATTGGGGGTGACGTCGTATGACCTCGCTATAATTTCCCCAGGTAGCCACCTTCACGAACATAGTGTACGAAGTGCCAGTCGTGACAAGGATGATGGTAAGCTCCAACCACGCTCAGCACCACAGCTCACCAGTAACGTAACGTCACTCACGACGAGAATGGCCAACGATAGTAGAGGAATCCGAAGAAAGCCTGATTGCCAGACTCGGCACAAGAACAGTCCAGTGCAGGTTACCGTGGTTGACTTGGATTCCTGACCACGAAATATAGGGGACTTAATTAATCATCAGAATAGGGTTTGGGGGCCCGCTATACTATAATTATGATAAGGACCCCAAACAATAGTATCGGTAATCATTCAGGCCCCTATAGTGATGCTCTTCTGACGACGACGGCGTGTGCCGATTGAAAACCACAAGTGTCCATGCATGAAAGACCCCTGAACCCAACGCCAAACTTGAAACGAAACGCCACACTAGATCCACAAGTGAAAACTCCTCTGCAGCTTCCTCGAACAAGGCAACTGCATTTTGCCATCCACCTCGCAAGCGTTTGGAGATGTTTGGAGTTGTTGTGTGCTCCTAGCAGTAAGGTTAGTCTGCTTTAGACTAACCCCAAGGCTCTAAGTACTAAGTACTCATATTTTAAGGCTTCTGGGCCTAAAGACCACATCATATAAGGCCTTTGGCACATTGTGAGCCTTAGGGTAAGTTTCCAGCATCCCAATAATGGCACTCAGCCATGGTGTGCACACACACACACACACATCACCTTTAGTGCAGATCCTACTTCATGTATGCATGCATGCACCATGTTCTGTAGATATACACATACAGTGAACATGATTATTTCTATGGTTCGGACTGCCGATATAAAATATGCAACAGAAAAATTTTATACACATGTTGCCATCCCCAAGCGTGTCTCGTCTGGGTTTCGGAATCTTCAACAGCTTCTTGTCTGTAGAGCAGCTTGCGTTGAGGATTGAAGTCTCACCATTGCGACTACGGCTGTTGTGACTTGAGGGTTCAGGGTTTAGGGCAGGATCAAGAGCATTAGCTATCCATTAGGTTATTTTCGAAAACATGCTGCCATGTTTCTGATGTACCTATCACCAACCAATCTGGCTAGCAATCTGTTGCTGGCAAGTAATCAGTCGCACTATTCCTAAACCCTAAACCCCTCAACACCTAAACCCTCAACCCCTAAACCCTACACGCCTAAAACCCTAAACCCCTAGACCCCTAGACCCCTAAACCCTAAACCCCAAACACCCAACCTTCTAAACCCTGAACCCCTAAATATTGCGCCTCCCGGAGCTCCCTGCACTCTTGAACCCTGAACGTCTGCCTCAGACCCCCCAAAATAACCCAGACCCCCTTTGGAGGATCCAAAAAGTAGATCCCTCCCTAAGGCTCCAAAGAGGGTCTTGGGCTCTCTGGTTTCGGCTTTGGGGGCTAGGGTCCGGGATCTCACTACAAGGGTCCAGGAGCCTTAAAGCTTAATCTACTTTCTAGATACTCCTGGGGGTCTGGGAAAACCCCCCTAAACCAAAAGGGTCCTAGGTACTGTTATGGGGAATTCTCCTCCAAATCATAATAGTAATTCCTAAAATAGAAACCCTACCCTATCCCTCCAAGGACCCCATAGTTGGGGCCCTAGACCCCTTAAGGACCCCATAATGAGGTCCCTGGAAGCACTGGGCTACATTTATAATATATAGCTACTTTAGACCCTTTGGGAAACACCATGCCTTCAGTCTCGCATGCGCTGATGGCGGCGCTGCAAGAGATGATGTTGCCCTGCACCTGGGGGCTTCCGAAAGTAGGGGGGCCGCCCTAATCTAGTACCCTAAATAGTATGATCCGCATTATAAGGACCCCAGAATAAGGTATCCTTATTTTTCAGAAACTCTAAATCCTAAACCCTGTATAGAACCCTTATAGACGCCTTTTAAGGATCCCTTTAAAGATACCCCTGATTTTTGGAAACTCCGACCTGCTGCTCCGTCATCTCACTCACCAGGCCGACGGCCTGTGCCCAAAGGGTCCTAAGCAATTCTATCATGTATAGTTTCTATACCCCAAGGCTCCTGGACCCTTGTAGTGAGATCCCGGACCCTAGCCCCCAAAGCCGAAACCCTCCCCCAGAGAGCCCAAGACCCTCTTTGGAGCCTTAGGGTAGCAAGAACCACTATTTTTATAATCCCAAAGAGTCCAAGTATCATTCTGGTGTATACTTATGGGGCATTTTGGTGGGTCTAAGTATATACCATGATGATACTTGGACCCTTTGGGAATTTGGGCAAGTATCGCCATGACAGTACCTAGGACCCTTAAGGGGGTGGACTTAGGTCTGCCTAGAAGTTCCTTCGAAGGTTTCTAAAGCTTCTGTTCCTAAACCCCTACCGTTTATCATTTAGGGGTTTAGGGTTTAGGGTTTCTACCTGCATCCCCAAAGCCTACAAAATAGTAGGTTCTGACCACCGAATTAAAGGGTACAGCCCTTGAAACGGTAGGCTTTTGGATCCCCAGGTAAACCCTAAACCTATAAACAGCGACAAGCCGAGGTCTTCGGAACTGTGGGCTTTTGGGGCTTAAGGCTTCTGGTTTTGGCTCTGGGGTTGCCTTGGTTGGTCGCTTCTTCTGGGCTTGTCCAAAACTGACTGGCTTAGGGTCCCATTGGGAATCTAAACAGCTTCTGTCAGGGTTTAGGGAATGTGGCTTTCGATTTCAAGTTGAGCATTGGGGTGCAAGTAATCATTATTTATTGCTTTGGATACCTGAAAAGCCCCAAAGTCCGAGAATTTTGAGTACTTGGACCCAACCCTCAACCCTAAGCCCGAAACCCTTCGGGCGCATGAGTTGAGACATCTCCGCAGTGAGCTCACCTCATCCGAACAGATTTCTGACTTGCTCATCTCTTGGTCCCTCTTTGTCCTCTTCAAACGGTTTAGGGTTTGGGGTAGAGTTAGGGTTTAGGGTTTATAGGGGTTGAGGGCTTACCTTAAGGCTCGTGGACCCTGGTAGTGAGATCCCAAACCTTAGCCCCGAAAGCCCAAACCCTCCCCCAGAAAGCCCCTGAGAACTCTCGGAGCCTCAGGGAAAACTACCGTTTTAAGGGTCAGACCCTCTAATTAAGAGGTGATAACCTACTATTTTATAGGGTTTGGGGCTACCGAGGGCTTTTTTAGGGAACCACAAACCCAAAGCCCCGGTTCAGGGTTTAGGGTGGAGTTAGGATTAGGGTTTAGAGGGGCTTAGGGCTTAGGATGTAGGGAACCTCAAACCCAAAGCCCCAAACTCATGCCTGTGCCCACTGACCGCCCTTCTCGCAAGCACTCAGAGTAGAGCTGAAGGTGATCACATTCCTCAGGTTTACGGTTTAGGGCTTCGAGTTGAGGGGTTTAGGGGTTTAGGGTTTAGGGTTTAGGGTTGTTTAGCTCAGGGATTTGAGGGTTTCGGGGATAGAGCTTCGAGTTGAGAATTCTGGACTTGGGGTTTAGAGCTTGGGTGTAGCCTTGACTTCACTGCTTTTGCCCTGCAATACAGTATGTATTTATAGGGTCCGCGTACTTGTGTATTAAATGTATAGACATATATACATATGTATACATATACACATCTATGTGTTGGCTCTAACTAAGCTTAAAATATCTACTGCGTGGGGCCCGGGAAATGAAATCGTATAGTCAACCCTCTGAAACCCTTTGCCCTGAACATTAAACCCACAGACAGGCCCCAATTAATACTCCCTGAAGACATAGAATAGGGTTCCTTTCAAGGCCAGGGATAAAGGCTCAATGGTATAGGAGCCTACTGATCTCATATTACTCCCGTAGGAAGGAAAACAGTCAACATCTCTCTTGGGCTTGGGGATTCGCAACCCATGCAGCCTGGTGAATGACCGACCTTGCCTCGGGATGAAGATAAGCAACCAAATACTCGGTCCCTCAAAGAGACGGGGTTTATCCAGCTGCCGTTTTGTACTGACTGACCCCTAACAAGCCAGGACGCGGCGTCAGCGCCCACTGATGAAGGACATCGTGCAGATCCCTCGGTAACGTTCAAATCTTGAGGGTTCAGAGCGTTTAGTATAATGACCTGTTTTCAACTACATACTATAGGGGCCTTAATAGTTAGAACAAGGTCTTGGGCCCATTATACTACAATTCTAACCCTTATAGGGTCCAAGTACACGATAATCATATACTCTCCAAAATCCTAACCTACATAACTACTATCCTAAAACCGTGTACCTAATTATTGGGTCCTTTGGACCCTTGGGGTAACAAGGCCCCCCCCCCCCAAGTAGCATAGGCAATTATTAAGGCCGCTACATTAGGTACTTAGGACCCTTTGGTATATACATATATATATATATATATATATATACCTACATACATACATATATATATATATATAATCGCACCAAGTACCCTTTGGTGTCACGCCTTCGCAAGTACCCTGAGCCCTAAAAGCCCTGGATATGGATCAGCAGTTCCTGAGAGACTCCAAAACTCAAGAACCCTCAAATTAAGGAAAGGTAGGTAGGGTTTAGCGCTTAAGGCTTGGAGTCCGAAGCCCACCCAAGTTCGGAATATTCTTAGTTAGTACAGGGGTAATTCTTGAACCCTAAACCCTACACCCTCACCTCTCCCCAGGCCCAGTGGCAGTGCATCTGACCATCGCCTGCGCATGAGGTGTGGGCAACAGCAAGAAACAACCAATCTTCATCTCCAAACCGCCCTCAGACCAAATCCCTGGGCTCTAAACGAATCTACTTGGACGTTCATGGGTAGTTATAAGTGGAGTTATAAGTCGCCTAATATGGGTTATAATTGTAGTTGCCCTACTTATAACTCCACTTATCTACCCATGAACCTCCAAGTAGGGATTAGGGTCCAAGGCTTCCGGCTCACTTGAACCAGAACCCTTAGGTATCCACCCGCCTGCAACCGAGCCTCAACCATGCCAAGGGAAGCTTGAACAACCGCTTTAAAGACCCTAAACCCGCATAGTAACCCTTTTGAAAGACCCTAAACCCCTAAACCTCTAAACCCCTAAGCCCTGAAGCTTACCTTTGGTTTGCAGGGAATGGAAGAATGGTAGCAATAGTAGCTACAATTGTACCCCATTCCTCCATTCCCTACTAACCAAAGGTAAGACAAGCAGACATGAGATGGTCTTGGGTTTTAGGCTTCCTGCACAGGAGTTTGTGCAGGGCTTTATGGAGGTTCTGTTCACGATTCAAGGTTTCGGGGGTGTGGCTTTTGGGTTTAGGGTCGCGGCGCAACGTCTAGGGGATTGTAAAAGGTATTGCCAATAATGCGGACAAGCCCTAAACTGACAAGGCTGACAAACAGAGACACGTGGATAAGTAGTCTTACCAACATGATGCCCAAGTGGAGCCCTACAGGTTCCTCAGGAATCAGGCCGTCCTGCCCCTGACAAAGCCAAAACAGAACACCCAAAACCCCATGAAATCCCTAGACTTGAAACTTTCAAATCCTAACATACTGTGATGATATATATATATATATCCTGCATTACCCATAATAAGGTATATACCATAATTCCCATACTCTGGGGTCATTAAGGTAATGCAGGATTTATATCATCAACCGAATCCCTAGACTTGAAACTTTCAATCCTAACATAACACCTCAAGCCCTCGAAATTTCCAGACTTTTAACCTTTTCAATCCTGAAACTAGTACTGTAGAAACAACCCTGATAAGAGCCCTTCTCTAAGGAGCCCCTTAAAGGACCCCTTATTAGAAAGGATCCCGTTGAACAAAACCTTAACTGAACCCTCAAAGGAACCCTAGAATCCTAGTTCGAAAACGCTTAACCCCCAACCCTTGTAGAACCCTTCTGGACCCCTTATCCCTCGAAAGAACCCTCAAAGGAACCCTAGAATGCTGAATCCGAAAACCCTTAACCTCACACCCTTGTAGAACCCTGAAAGATCCCTTACACCGATATTTGTTGGATAGATCCCTTATATATCCCCTCAAAGCAAACCTAGAATCCTTTACTCCCGGCGCCTTCCCTTCTCGCAGGCGGTCGTGGCTGCGTTGCAAGCGCTGACCTGCTTCTCCACCTCAGCTTTAGGGATTACAGGTTTTGGGGGTAAGGGTTTAGGGGTGTAGGGTTTAGGGGGTTTAGGGTGTAATGATTTTATTGGGTTTAGCGGGTTTCCTTTACAGGGTTCCTTTCGAAAAGTCATCAGGGATCAAAGAATTGCGGTCGCGGGTTGAAGGGTTGGTTTAAGGGTTTTGCTAAGGCTTCATGGAGAGCTTTATTTAATTTGGGTTGAGCGCTTAGGGTTACTGTAAGAGTACTGGTACTTTACGGCATAGTTGCTCGGGTTTAGGGCTTAGGGGGTCCTATAAACCTCCTATAAGGGCTGGAGCAGCTAGCGTTCAGGGTTTCGGGCCGCGCTTGGCTTGCAGAGGTCACTAAGGGAAATATAGGCTACTAAAGGGCTTAGGATGGTTCCGGCTGCCCTTACTTGGAGGGTCGGGGGACTTAATAACTGGGTAGTAAGTAGACTTACAAGTACCCTAAAAGGATCCTAATTGGGGTTATGGTACTTATAACTCTACAAAATAACTACTTAGTAAGTCCCCCGACCCTCCAAGTCAAGTGGGGGTTCCTCGAGAGTCTTGCAGCTTATAGTTGAGGAGGTTTGCTGTCCAGCTAGAGCTAGCCGAACTGTATGCTCCTTTCCAATGAAACTCTAGATTAAGGCTTGACTACATGGGATCCGAAAGGGCTTTTGCAGACATTTACAACAATGTCATGAAAGGATTGTTTTAGCCAATAAGCCCTGAACCCCCGAACACGCTGACCCCACACGTCCTTCACCCCGAGGCCCTCGAGCCCCAAGCCCACTCCTGAACCCTGAACCCGACCTTAACCTACCGAAACAGTAGGTTTTGGTCCCTGTAACATCCGTATTAATGATGCATAATAAGAACCCACGAAAAAGTAGGTTATGGTCGTCCAGGGTATGTGCCATGCCCTAACATGAACCTGCTGCGCGTAGCCCAAAAGAGCCTCACGGAACCTGCATAAGAAACCTCCCCTAAAGGGGTCCCAGTGCCTAGTTAAGGCTTTCTTAAGTGCAATAGCCCCCCTTCCTTTTTAAGTGCAAGCTAGTTAGGGTTTAAGGTTTAGGGTTTAGGGTATACTCTCCGAAATCACTACCTACATAACTACCATCCTACACCCCAGTACTTAATTTGCGGCTCATTTGGAGCCTTTGGGCTCAATCATTACAGGAGGCTTTGACACGCTTGGTAGTTTCGGGGCATCTGGGACGCAAATATCGGCCCTAACGCAAAAAATGTACCTACTATTGTAAGGAACAAGACGAGCAGCCCAAATCTATATGCTAGATCTCCACCCCGCCCCAAACCCCTGAAACTTCCTCCGAAACCCTCAACCCTGAACCTTAATCCACAAAACCACTAAAACAAAAAACAATTAAATCCCCAAACATTGCAAAATCCTAAACCCCAAACCCTAAACCCTTAAACATTAAACCACCCTAGCCCCTTAACCCCTAAACCCTAAACCCCAAGCATTAAAACACCCTAAACCCCAAACCACCCAAACCCCCAGCATTATAAAAAACCCTAACCCCCAAACCCCTAAATACCAAGCATTACAACAACCCTAATCCCCCCCAAAGCCCTAAACATTATAAACCCTCCAAACCCCCAACAACAAAAAGCAACACCCTAAACTTTCTCCAACCGTAAACCCTAAGCCCCTCAAACCCCTAAACATTATAAACCACCGTTTCGCTCTAGGAAGGCAGCATCGTATCATCGACAATGGCTTGACGTACGGGTAGCCAGCAGCTGGATGGCACTGTGGGCTCCTCATGGTCGCAGGCGGCTGACCTTCGATCCTCTGGTACAGGATCTGTGCCATTTCCATGTGCACGACGCTGCGCTCGTTCAGCTTGTAGTTGAAGCGCTGCAAATTATTTTCAAGCTCTTGCACACGCAGTTCAAGAAGACGAACATCCTGCATGTGCGTATGCAGAAGCGGAATGGACGAAACAACCTGCCGTACACGCAGGTCCTGAGGCTTGGCCCGCTGCAGGACCTGAATCGCCTGAAGCACCTCATTGTTCGTTGGCGAGGGCGCCTGAGCGGTCACAGCCCCTTCTCCGAATGGAAGACGATGAGCCGCCTCCCGGCTCCGATGAGCCATGAATTCCTCCGGCTGCATGGCAACCTCAAACACAGGGCCCATTGCTCTAGGTGCGTGCCACCCAAACCCCCAGCAACAAAAGGCAACAACCTAAACTTTCTCCAACCCTAAACCCTGAACCCCCCAAACCCCTAAACATTATAAACCCCCGACAACAAAAAGCAACAACCTAAACTTTCTCCAACTCTAAACCCTTAACTCCCCAAACCCCTAAACATTATAACCCCCCCACACCCCCAACAACAAAAAGCAACAACCTGAACTTTCTCCAACCTAAACCCTAAACCCCCCAAACCCTTAAACCCTCAACCCAAACCCCTAAATCCTAAACCCAAACCCTTAAACCTCCGTAAACCCCTAAACCCCTAGACCCAAACCCAAACCCCTAAACCCTAAAACCTAGACATTCTACACAAAACAACCCGAACTTTCTCCAACCCGGAGCCGCCCCGGCCTAAACCGTAAACCCTTATAGAGCCCTTGAAGGAACCCTTATAGTACCCTTATAGTAGCCCAAAGGGTCCTGGGTACTGTTATGGGGAATACTCCCCCAAATCATAATAGTAATTCCTAGAATAGAAACCCTACATTCTACCATATAGCTACTTTGGGCCCTTTGGGTAAGCCTCTACAGCCCTTAAAATAGCCATTATATACCCATTATATAGCCTATTATAGGGTAGTGGTCCCCATTCATAACTAAGGGTCCCTCCTTTTCCCCTTTGATTAAAGGAACCCTAAACCCTAAACCCTACACCTCTAAGGACCCCATAAAGGAACTCTAAACCCTAAACCCTAAACCCCTAAGGACCCCTTAAAGGAACCCTAAAGTAACCCTCAAAAAAGGGGCCTGCTCCGCATGGAGCTGCCAGAGCAGAAGGAGGGCCATCGGCCAAGAAAGCCCTGCCAGGGCACAGGTCTTTTCCCAGACTTTTGGGGGGGTCCTTTAAAGGGTTCCTTTAAAGGGATAGCTTAGGTTTTAGGGGTCCCTTACTTTGGGATCCTTATAATAAGGATCCTATTATTTAGGGTATTATATTAGGGCCCCATATGTTCCGAGATTTTTTTGGGGGGTACCTTAAAAGGGTTCCAAAAAGGGACACAAAAAGAGTTCCTGTAAAGGGTACCCTATTCTTCCTTTGAAGGGATACAAAAAAGATCTTTTCCGAGACTTTTTGGGGTCCCTGATTTTGGGATCCTTGTAATAAGGATCCTATTATTTAGGGTACTTACTACTTCTACTACTACTGATACTACTGATACTACTGATACTACTGATACTACTGATACTACTACTACTACTACTACTACTACTACTACTACTACTACTACTACTACTACTGCTGCTGCTGCTGCTGCTACTGCTACTGCTACTGCTACTGCTACTGCTACCGCTACTGCTACTGCTACTGCTACTGCTACTACGACGACGACTACGACTACAACTACGACGACGACTACGACGACTACGACACGACGACGACGACCACGAAGACTGCCACAACCACCGCCCCTACCACCACTACTACAAGCATTAGCTCATATTATTAACCTTGAGAAGATTGAGTTTCATCTGGTTCTCCCGGAAGTACTTAGGCTCAAGACTTCCCGGCCGTTTGCAACTAGTGTATCGATAGCGCTCCTCGAAGCTATGGCTTTGCACGCCAGCCTTTGCCACAGGCACTGACCGCGGCACTGTATGCAATGGAATCCTCACCCAGGGGGCAAGATCTGTTGCAAGCTGGCACACCCTAGCTCCCACAAACTTGTGTTCGTATGCACATACATGGATGTAATGGCATGCCGTGCAGCCTCGGATGTACATGTGCAGAAACGGTTATTGACCGATACCCAAAACCTCAAGCCCCTACACCCTCAGCCCCAAGCCCTCAAATCAGAATAGGGTTTTGTGGCTATTCTACTATACTGATAAAAAGCAACCACCAGGATTTTGCTTTGCAAATAGAATAGTGTTAATTACTTAGGCCCTATACCAAACCTTAACCCTGAGCCCTTATAGTAACCCCTCCTAAAAGAACTCACTAGTCTCGGTAATTACTTAGGCCCCTGCATTTTTGAAGGGCCCTCAGTACCTATATACGAGAATGCAGGGTTTCTTTGTTGCGAATAATCCGTATGATTTGGAGGGAGTTTCCGCCATTGTCATAGTACCTAACCCTCGACCCGGAACCCTCAACCCTAAACACTGAAAGCCCCACACCGTAAATCCTACACCCTCCCAGGAAACCAGGACGCCTTACCCTAGACCCTAGCCCCAAGGGTCCAAAGGACCCAATAATTAGGTACTCGGTTTTAGGATAGTAGTTATGTAGGTTAGGATTTGGGAGAGTATATAACTATTCGGTACTTGGACCCTTGGGGTAACCCTCGCCGGGCCGGGGGATATGGTCCCCTGAACAGTAGGAAGCTCCGTTGTTGAAATATCGGGTTTTAGGCCTTGCTCAAGTGTATGGTTTAGGGTTCGGGGGTTTCGGGGTTTAGGGTTTAGGGTTGAGGGGTTTAGGGTTTAGGGTTGAGGGGTTTAGGGTTTAGGATTCAGGGGTTTGGGGTTTATAGGTTTAAAGTTCAGGGGGTCTGGGGTATACCTGCACCCTGAATGACCTAATTATGATTTCCGTGTGTGAAGCCTTGAAATGGTAGGTTCTTCTGGGTTTAGGTAGGGTCTTGAGGGTTTAGGGGTTGTGGGGTTATGGGCTTTTGGGATTGTAGGGACTAGGGTTGGGGTCTGTAAGGGCTGTAGGTTTTAGGGTTCTAGGGTTTAGGAGGCTTTAGGGTTGTAGGGTCTTAGGGCTGAGGGTTACGGGGGTTGTGGGGTTAGCGCTTTAAGACATTTTTGGGGTGAACCTACGAGCAGGATAACCCACTTAGCCTCCCTTTCCGGATACTTCTGAGCCACCCTCGAACCTCCACGGACGGGAGCGCGACAGGTTAGATAGTATGTTGGTATTGTGTTTGCAGAGGTTTAAGTATACCTTGGGTACGGCCCCCATACAGTAAGAGTCTATAGTCTATAATCGGGCTACTACTAAGGTCCTAATAGATTATACTATGAGTAGTATTCAACTATTACTGAGTGGGGGCCGTACCCAAAGTATACGACCCAACCTCGAGCTCAACAAAAGCAAGGCCCTAAAAACAAACCCAAAGCCTCTCAACAGAAGGAGACCCTCGGCCCCTATTCGGGTTCCTTTAAAGTAAAGATGTGTATATAGAGGAAGGGGCTCCTTAAAGGGATCTATAGGGTTCCTTAAATGGATCTATAGGGTATAGGGTTTAGGGAGGTAAAATAAGCTAGAAAGTTGGAATATGATTATCCTAAACCCTTTATGGTAAATTATAAGGTATCCTACTCTGAAACCATATTCCAACTTTCTGGAGTTCCCTTTAAAGGGTCTATAGGGGCTACTATAAGGGATCTTTAATGGGTACTCTAATGTAGTGGCTTTAATGATTCGACTAGGGTTTGGGGGTAGATTCCATGCAGTTATAGAAACTTTGGGGTTTTATAGGAACTTTGGGGTTTTATAGGAACTTTGGGGTTTTATAGGAACTTTGGGGTTTTATAGGAACTTTGGGGTTTTATAGGAACTTTGGGGTTTTATAGGAACTTTGGGGTTTACAGCACTTTGTTCTCTTCTTCATTCTGGGACGTAACCCACAAAACCTCTACCCTGCCAGCCGCCCCCGCCCCCCCCCCCCGAAGTACCCCTTACGGTTGATGATCTAAATCCTGCATTACCTTAAGGACCCGAAACTATGGAAATTATGGTATATTCCTTGTTTTGAGTAATGCAGGATTTATATCATCAACCGTAGTAAAGGCCTTATGGTCCTTACTATCAGGGGCTCATAGCTCGAATACTCGGAGGGCCGGGGACTTAGTAGATATAGTTAGCTTACAGACTTACAAGTATCATCACCAAAATTAGGACCTCTTGTAGGATACTTATAGGTCTTACTGAAGTCCCATGCCTTCCAAGTAAGGGGTAGTCGGAGGGTGTTGGCGCAGCCCAAACTCCTACAAAACCCCAAGCCCTAACACCCTAAAATCCTAAACCCGTAGAACCCTTATAAACCCTTATAAACCCTAGAATCCTAAACCCTAGGACTCTAATAGATCCCTTTTCAGAACCTTGTAAAACCCCCTACCTATCGGGTCCTTTTGGACCCTACCCTAAGGTTCCCAATAGGGTCTTGTGCTTTCTGGGGGAGGGCTTCGGCTTTGGTGGGCAGGGTCCGGGATCTCACAACGAGGGTCCTGGAGCCATAGTGTAGAACCCTAAACCCTAAACCCTGAAGCCCTAAACCCTGAAGCCCTAAACCCTGAACCCTAAACCCTGAAGCCCTAAACCCTGAAGCCCTAAACCCTGAAGCCCTAAACCCTAAACCCTGAAGCCCTAAACCCTAAACCCTGAAGCCCTAAACCCTAAACCCTAAACCCTGAAGCCCTAAACCCTAAACCCTGAAGCCCTAAACCCTAAACCCTGAAGCCCTAAACCCTAAACCCTGAAGCCCTAAACCCCAAACCCTAAACCCTGAAGCCCTAAACCCTGAAGCCCTAAACCCTAAACCCTAAACCCTGAAGCCCTAAACCCTAAACCCTGAAGCCCTAAACCCTAAACCCTAAACCCTGAAGCCCTAAACCCTAAACCCTGAAGCCCTAAACCCTAAACCCTGAAGCCCTAAACCCTAAACCCTGAAGCCCTAAACCCCAAACCCTAAACCCTGAAGCCCTAAACCCTAAACCCTGAACCCTGAAGCCCAGTATTCAAGACAGAAACGTAGCTTGAACCCAAAGGCTTGGCGGCCTTTGTAGGCATTTCCACCAGCAGGGCCGCTGCTTGTACCTTCACCCAAAGGGTCGTTTTAAGGTTTAGGGTTCCTTTAAAAGGGATACTACAAGGGTACTGTAACCCTGAGGCTCTAAGGACTCGTATTTTAAGGCTCTTGGGCCCAAAGACCATACTATATAAGGCTTTTGGGCTATTTTGAGCCTTAGGGTAACCCAAAGGGTCGTTTTGAGGTTTAGGGTTCCTTTAAAGGGTACCCTAGGGTTCCTTTCAAGGGATACTATAAAGGGTTCCTTTAAAGGGTTTATAGGGTTAGGGTTCCTTTAAGGGTTTGGGGTTTTCAGGGATCGGGTTGCTATAAGGGCTCCTTGTTGGGGTTCCGGCTAATCCCTACAACGAACCGCAGCAACCCTAAACATCTTGCAGAGCCCTGAACCCTAAACCCAAACTACACGGAAAAACACTAAACACCTTAAACTTCAAAATCCACAAACGCCCTTAGAACCTCAAAACCTAAAACCCCTAAAACTGCAAACCTTTCATGAGCCCAGGTTAGTTAGGTACAGCCCCCACCCTGTACTAGTGGTATAATAGGAATATAATAGGGCCCTAATGTAATCCTTATAGTCACCATTACAGGGTGGAGGCCCCTTTCATGAGCCCGGGCTTCTCTGGGCAAGACACCCAGTATACAAATAGTACCTACTTTGGGGTCTACAGTCTATAAATGCTAACTACTTTGGGCTATTTGGAGTATTAGGCCTGGGCCTAAACCCTAAACGCTAAACCCTTATAGAACCCTTAGAGGTCCCTTTGAAGGAACCCTTATGGATCCCTCTAAAGGAACCCTAAACCCAGGCTTCTCTGGGCAAGACACCCACTGCTCACAACGCTCACAGGCACTCAAGGCAGCGCTTCTCGTGATGATGTTTGCCTGCACAGCTTCGGGTTTAGGGTTTAGGGTTTAGGGTTTCGGGTTTAGGGTTTAGGGTTCAGGGTTTAAGGTTTAGGGTTTAAGGTTTAGGCACAGCTTCCTTACCTCTGGTTAGTATGGAATGGAGGGGGCCTTATAAAGGGGTCTACAAGGGTTACTATACGGGATCTATAAGGGTCCTCTAATATAGGCTGCTTAATAATCCCATAACTTAACTCTGGTTAGTAGGGAATGGAGGAATGGGGTACAATTATAACTACTATTACTACCATTCTTCCATTCCCTACTAACCAAAGGTAAGCTTCAGGGCTTAGGGTTTAGAGGTTTAGGGGCCTAGGGTGTTTCAAAAGGGTTACATACTATGCGGGTTCAGGGTCTTTAAACGGGTTACTATACGGGAGCAGAGAGTAGAGCCTAGGGTTTAGGGGTTTGGGGGCTTAGGCATAGAGTCGGATGTAGGGTTTCCCTAAGGCTCCAAAGAGGGCCTTGGGCTTTCTGGGGGAGGGTTTCGGTTTTGGGGGCTTGGGTCCGGGATCTCACTACAAGGGTCAGGAGCCTCAAGGTAGGGGTATAGGGCTTTAGTTGCTTCAGGGTTTAGGGCTTTTGGGGGTGAGGGTTCAGTGTGTGGCCTTGGGGCTTTAGGGCTTGGGGTTACTGGCTTAATTTAAGGGCTTAATAATTAGAATCTGGTTTTTGGGGTATAGCCTAGAATAAATAGAACCAGGACCCCACCCCAACAACAAAAAACAAAATAATAATACATATTTTTTGGGGTATAGCCTACAATAAATGTTGTAAGGAACCCCTCCTGTGTTAGGGCTCGGGTTTACTGGCTTAAAGTTCAGGGTGCGCTGCTTCAGCAGCTCTAAGACAAGACTCTTCCCCGGTCGGTTTAGGGTTTAGGGTCCAGGGTACTTATTCTTACAATACCGTTATGGTTATTCGTTATATTGTAATAGTCATACTTATCATAATTATTGTCATTATTGTGATTACTGTTATGATTAGCAATCTCATGGTTACTAAATGTGAGAAGTATCCAGCACCTTGGAATCATGTTCTCTCCCTAAGAGTGGCCTAGGAAGCTGCAGTTCCTGAAGTCAAAGGGTAAAAAGGAGGGACCCTTAATAAGGACCCAAGGTATATACCCATAATATAGCTACTATCTACCCGTTATATAGCCTATTATAGGGTAGGGGTCCCCATTAAGGGTCCCTCCTTCTCCCTGTTGATGAAGTCCTAAACCCAAGCACCCACATAACTATCTGGACCCTCAGGCTAGGGTTCAGTAATTTGAGCTTCTAGGTTTCTGGCCTTACTCTTTGAGGGAGTGGGAGTAAGGTCTGGGTGCCAGGGTTAAGGGCTCTAGGAATGTGAGATTCGGGGTCTATAGCGCAAAGTTTCACAGGACATTGCTGCTCTAACAGCACATTGAAACATTTTTGTATGTCATACCATGCTCATCCTTGTCTTCACCATTGCCATCAACACTCTCCTTGCTCCTTCTTTTTGCTAAAAGCGAACAGAAATCTCGTCCGTTTCGGCTCCGGAACTTTGACAACTCCCTTCGGGAGCCATCGTGAGACTAAGCGGCGCAATGCAAACCAGCAGCAGGTACCAACAGCCATTTGTTGAATGAATTGCCTGAAGGGTTTCGGGAGCGGAGGGCCTTTCAGGGCTTATAATTAACGAATTTTCATAGGCCATCTCGGGCTCAATTATAGGGGTTTAATTAAGGCCTATTGTTTCAGGGCTTATATACGGTTGTTATGGGCCTATCGGACTTACAGAGGGGCTTAGGATCTATGGCTTAGGGTTTACCGCTTACCCGTCTGTCGAAGGAGATGCCTGGAGGGTGCCGCTGATGAGATCGCACGACTGTGCTGTGTGGAGCCGAATCTCCAAAGCTGAGAATGACAAAGCAAAGCTACCTGAGGTTTAGGGTTTAGGGTTTAGGATTCAGGGTTTAGGGTTTAGGGTTCAGGGTTTAGGGGTTGCTTCCAAATTGTTTCTTTAAGGGCTCCTTTAAGGCTTCCTCTTGGAGTTTCTCTAAGGGTTCCTTTAAGAAGCTCGCTGCGGGTTCCTTTCAGGCTTCTTTTCCGGGCGAAGTTACTTTGAGGACGAAATGCCCTTAACCTAAATCCTAAGCCATTAAGGACGAAGCCCTTAAAGGGCTTTGCTTGAGTATTTAAGGACGTAGTGCGCTCAAAAAGTTTTTAATTAGGTTCATTCACCAAAACCTGAACTCATAGTCTACGGGTGCAGGGCCCCTACTTTGAAGGGATATTTGGTCCCAAGGTACCGGTGTCCATTTCACGCCAGCTCCGTTCCAGAAGATCCACTCCAGCCATAGAAAACAAAGTTGCCAAATGCCTCCCCAGGCAAAGCCTTCTTCTGGGTTGGCCTTTAAACACCCTGAAAAATATTTATATATAGGGTCCCTTATAAACCCAAATAAGGAAAATAAAAAATGTCCCAAAATCCAACCTAGTCTTGTCCAGCACTTGGCGGGTCGGGGGACTTAGTAAGTAGGTAGTAAGTAGACTTATAAGTACCCTAAAAGGGATCCTATTTGGGGTTATGGTACTTATAACTCCGTAGAATAACCAGTTACTAGCCTTCTTGTCCATCCAAGGGTAAAAGGAAGCACCCTGAATAAGGACCCCTAGGTATATACCCTTAATATAGCCATTATATACCCAATATATAGCCCATTATAGGGTAGGGGTCCCCATTAAGGGTCCCTCCTTTTCCCCTTTGATTCTTGTCCAGCAAGGGCTTAGGGCTTAGGGCTTATAAGGGTTTAGGGTTTAAGGTGCAAAAGGGTTTAGTGTGTCTAAGGGTTTAGGGCTTCTAAGGGTTTGTGGTCTAGGGTTCTAAGGGAATTACAAAGTCGTGTCGGTTTAGGGTTTAGGTTTGCGAGGATATTATATTGTCGTGAAGGTTTAGGGTTTGGGGTTTGGGGTTCCAAGGGAACTACACAGTCTACACAAGTTCACCTGTTGGATGATCTAGGACTTCTGGCACCCGCATAGAAAAAAGAAAACCTACAATACTACTTGAATCCTCAACCCTAAGCCCTTATCGAACGCTCTTATATATATATACATACATACATACATGCATACACATGTGTGTACATATATATATATATCCCTCAAGCGAACCCTTCAAAGGATCCCTGGTTATGAATCTTGAGTTAAGGATTCCTTAAGCAGAACCCAGAAGCAGCTGCGATGATGCATGGACGATTTGACGGTCCATGTCGATCAGGAGTGAAAGAGACCTGTGTAAGTCTTTGGTTCAAAATCTCTTTTTTCGGGTCCTTGTTTATAAGGGTGCCCTCCTATTCTCGCGAAAGAAAAACTCCCCTAATTTAGGGAGCCATATACCCACCTGTCTTCAGCAACAGCATGCGTATGCAGTTGCACTGACTGCGAAGTCGGCTTGGAATCGAGAGAACTGCATGCCCCCGCGGACATCGGCGTGAAACAGCGTGGTGCCGTGTGGAAGCTCTCGACGGCTTTGCTTCCTGACAAGGACTCCTGGTCTGTAACGTCGCGGAGGCCAAGGAGATGTCTTGTAATGCCCTGCGGTGTGTGATACATCACTTGAAAGACTTCCGTGCGAAATCTGTTGGAGTCGCTGTCCATGAGGTGAGTTACGAAGGCCTGGGCATTTACGCTCTCAAAAGGGCGATCTTCAAAGCGCCGCAGCAGCTCCACAACACGGCTGGCCTCTGCAGCACCAGGCAGCAGTTCGGTGAAGTCCATTCCCGCCAAGGTGGCTCCTGGCCTGCGCCGGAGTAGCATATAGAACCCCTTATAGTGACCCTAAACCCCAAACCCTAAAACCCCCTAAACCCTAAAACCCCCTAAACCCTAAAACCCCAAACCCCAAACCCTAAAACCCTAACGCCCTAAACCCTTCCTGGCCTGCGCCGGAGTAGCATAGCGGAGAGTGAGGCCTTATGCTCAGTCATTCGCAGATCAGCATCGAGCTCGACGACGGAGTCGCAGGTCAGGTGCAGAAGAGATGATGCCGCGTTGAAGTCCGTTTCCATCTTCTTGTACTGCAGACTGCGCTCAATCCGGTAACCTGGGTTCTGCTTGCAGGTCATTTCTTCCTTCTTAAGGGCAAACCATACCTGATAGTAATAGTAATAGTAATAGTAATAGTAATAGTAATAGATTTCCAGCAGCGGCCTAGCAACTCAGTATCAGATGCAGAGTTGCAGATGCACCGACCGTTGCGACGAGGCCGCCGCATTCTGCAAAGATGGCTGCTGCCGGCAGTGTTTCTGTGCTTGCCCGGATCAGAACCACTAGCAGAGGTGGGAGGCTGCAAGCAGCAACCACGATCGGCGAAGTCGCAATACCAACTGCAGGCACACGGCACAGGCCAAGAATGAAAAGGGAGATCTCCTGAAGATCGCTGGACACTAGATGGAGACGTAGAGTGTCGAAGAACAGGGTTTTGGATTTGTGGCGCTTCGGGTTTGGGGCTTTGGGATTTAAAATGTCAGAAAGAGCTTAGGGCTTGGAGTATACTTGGAGGTTCATGGGTAGTTATAAGTGGAGTGATAAGTCCCCTAATATGGGTTCTGATTATAGTTACCCTACTTATAACTTCACTTATAACCGCCCATGAACCTCCAAGCAGGGCATACACGGACCCTCAGAAGTCTAGAATTTGCAGGGCTCTCTCTTATTGTTTCCTTATACAAGTCCTTGAATCCTTGATTCTTTTTCAGCGTTTAGGGTATCTGTAGGGAACCTACAAGCATTCATATAATTCTATAGTTTAGCGTTGAGGGCACCCAGGTGGTCCGATATCCGTTGTTGAAGGAACGTGTCTGGGACTGTAAAATGGGATCCCCAACTCAAGTACCATGACTTAATCCGGGTAAATTGCAACATCGGGGTGTTTCCTGCTTATGAGGGCTGGAAATATGTACTTCTAAGGGTCCAACAAAGCCAAGAATTATGTGGTTGGTTTCGGTGATAGTTTTGTAGGATTGTATTTGGTAGTTTCCGAAAATAGGGGACCCTACTACGGTACCCTTAAAAACAAGATCCTCATTATGAGGACACCCCAATAAGCTACCCTTTCTTTTCTGAAACTCCCATTTGTGAGTTTCCGAAAATTCGGGGTGCCGTATTTTGGGGTCCTTATTAGAAGGATCCTACTAAGGTCCTACTATATAGGGTGCCATATTAGGGTCCCCCTGCTTTCTGAAACTCCCATTTGGGAGTTTCCGAACAATTAGGGGTGCCCTATTTTGGGGCCCTTATTAGAAGGATCCTACTACTTAGGGTGCCATATTAGGGTCCCCCTTCTTTTCTGAAACTCCCATTTGGGAGACTGATGGACCCGTAGGGCACTGTCCTTGATCGTCCGAGGAAGGCTCTATCTATACTGAACTTAGGACCCTAGCGAAAAATATAATGTTAGCTGTTTCTTAGGAATTATAATAACCAACGATTAAAAAGTATTTATTTCTAAGTACCCCTAAGCTATGATGGCTTATGCAAGGCTTCGATGCAGGCTTTACAATGGTGTAAATGAAGAGTTAGGGTTGATACAGTGAGCACCAGAAAGTTGGAACATGGATCTGGGACGAATAGTGCTGGGATTCCCTATACTTTGCCTTACGGGCCAGGGGATTTCAATGCTCCAACTTTCTGGCTTCTACTGCAGGGTTTGGGGACTGGGTTTAGGAATCAGGGTTTAGGGTTTACGACTTCTGTAAGAACAAACTTTTATAAAGCAAACTGCTTGCGGTCTGATTTCTGAGATATGTTCAGGTGGCACATGCCATGGAGACAGCTGCGATGCCCAAACCTGCGTGGCCAGTACATAGAACATGTTCAGATACCGCACAGACAGCACGGCCGGAAAGAGGTCCACAGCCACAAACATGCAGAAGACCAGTGACCTTATTAGAGGGGCCTTAATATTTAGAATAAGGTTTTGGGGCCCGAATATACTATAAAAATAACAAGGAACCACCAAAATAGTTTAGGTAATTATTAAGGCCCCTGTAGTAAGGACTTACCATAGCAGGGGTGGATACTAGAAGAAATACCGGGTCCCTATATCTGCCAGGGTCATGAATCTAAGGGTCCAAGTACTCCTGGACCGTGAGGGTTGTGGACAAAATGACTATTTGATTTAAGGGTCCCTTTACGGGATCTGTAAGGGTACTATGAAGCTTATACGGTAAAATATCTACGACTTGGTCGGTCTCCTCGGGACCAGGACCAAGTAGCCAATTGTCATATGAGCCCTTAACGCCTAAACCCCAGACCCTAAATCCTAACCCGCAAACCGTAAGTCTCGGAAGGGACCAGGACCCCTACCCTAAGCCCCAAACCTTAGACCCTAAACCGAAAAACCCTAATTGCACCCTTGGTCTCCAAGGGACCACGACCAAGTGAGAGTGGAGCTCATTCGACCAGGGGCGTTGGTCATCAGCACACGCGACTGGACCCAAAGCAGAGGGCCTGGAAGGGTGGATGATAGGACGCCTTTTAACGATTCCTTAGAGGGTACTAAGTACTAGGGTGGTTTAGGGTTTGGAATTTCTTTATAGAGTACTGGGGTTGATGATAAAAATCGGCATTACCATAATGACTCTAGACCATGGTTTAGGGGTTCAGGGTTTAAGCTTTGGGGCTTGGGGTCTAGGGTTTGGGGTTTCGTTAAGTTTCATTATTTTATAATGACCCTAGACTGTGGGAATCATGCTATGCTCCTTGTTTCTGGGGTAATGCATGAGTGTATCATCAGCCGAATGACCAGGTCTTAGGGCCTTGTTAAGAAGGGTTTAGGGAGTTTAGGGTTTGGGAAGTTTAGGGTTTTGGGAGCTTGGGGTTCTTAGATTTACTACAATATGCAAGACTTCATATCGCAAGTAACATCCCAGTAGGCCCAACAAAGGAAATATGGAAAAATGACCCGAGGGCCTGCAATCAGAATGCACATGATTCTGACATACCAGCGAGCTATCTGCACGCGAACCTGGCTCACTTGTTCCAGCACGAGCCGCTCGTCGTCAGCAAGCATAGGTCGCTGGAACAATCGCCCCGCAGACTTCAAAATGCCTCGTGACACCGTAAGCAGGTAACCTCGGTGGCGCATCACGGAGTAGACCTGGGCTTTGACGTGACTTAGTGAAAAAAAAGTGCAGACGTGTATTTCACAATGGGCTCCCTTTAAATGCAGATCCCCAAAAAGATTAAACGTATGGTACTCCAAAGCCCAGAGACCAGCTTGAATACAAAGACGATCTGAAACGGGCCTGTCACCATGACAAAACTGGCATCCAGACCTCGATGTCGACTTGGGAATTTCCGAAAAATAAGGGGTTCCTTATTTTGGGGTCCTAGGGTTCCTTTAAGGGTTCCTTTAAGGGTTCTATAGGGGATCTATAAGGGCTTAGGTTTTAGGGGTACCTTATTTTGGGGTCCTTACAATAAGCATCCTACTATTTCGGCTACTAGATTAGGGTCCTCTGTTTTCGGAAACTCCAATTCCGACAGTCCAGAAAATTGTTTAGAACCAGGGCTCGAAACCACCCCTTAGAAGCACAACGAACATAGTTTTTCTAATACTCCTTTAGGTCGTATATTATACGAACAAAATACAAAGACATTCTTAAGGAGACTATAGTATATTAAACAATAAGGGCCGCATTAACTTTTATCCCTATAAATCGATACCTGGAGAATCCTAGAGACTGGTGTCCAGGGAATCGGTTGAAGAGTCCATGAGCGGATCTTCCGCACCCGTGTGCAGATTTGCCGGACTAAACCCTGGTCTGACTCAGTCTGAGAGGTATGGCAGGAAAGGCAGCCAGAGACTCCAATATCCGTCAACTAAGGAATATTCCTTAAATCATATCCTACAACAATTAAGAGTCTATTCCTTAATTTCCTTATAGAACTCTTAAGGAGCAACCGTCACAAGCACAAACCCCAAGGGATCAAATTGGCAACCTGCATAACTACTATCCTACACCTAAATACCTAATTGTTGGGTTGTGTGGACCCTTACGGTTTTTTTTTTGGCCAGCTCGGTTTTTAGATTTTAGACGGGATCCTCTCACCATATATAGCCCAGGTTAGGCGAAGAGGCACTACAATGGAGAGTCGATATATATATATATATATGTATATATATATATATATATATACATCCATATCTGTATGAATGTACTTCAACATGTAAACAAATATAAGACAGATAGATAGATGATCCTTAGTACGTACCCGAAAGCACCTATAAACGCGCCATAACCCCTGCAGTAAACTATGAGAAACAAAACCGCCGAACAAGCTAGAAACCCTACACTTCCTAGAACCCCCGAAAATCCTTGAAAAGAACCCTTTAAGGATCCCGGAAAGGAGCCCTTGCCTCAAACCCCAGAAACCCTAAACCCGAACCTGGATGACTACAATGAACGCTTCAGGAAGCCCGAAAACCTACCTTGAATAGCCTACCCCAATGCCTACTTCTTTGGTAGCATCCCCCCAAAACTTTCCAATGGAAAACCTACAATAAGTTAATTTGTAGCCCCAAACCCCAAACCATCGAAACCCTAAACCTTAAACTGGATCCCTTTAAGGATCCCTAAACCCTAAACCAGTAAAGCACCCTAATACAGGGGCCTAAAATAATTTGGGGGTTCCTTATTCAAATATAGTATAATGGGCCACGAAGCCCTATTCTAACTATCAAGGCCCCTATACCATAGAACCCCATTATGGATCCCTTACTATAGAGCCCTTTAATTTAAAGCATCCCTTTAAAGGAACCCTATTCTAATTATTAAGGCCCCCCAGAGGGTCCATATATTGTAATTACCATCATGGAATAATTAAGTCCCAAAATAGAAGACCATCCCTACTATATTATGGTTCGGGGGCCCTAATTCCATAATACTGTGGATGGACACTATCCTGCATGACCCAATATAGGGAATATACAATAATTCCCATAGTTTAAGGTCCTTAAGGTCATGCAGGATTTTGTCCATCAGCCGTAGGAGTATAAACGGAACTCCAGAAAGTTGGAATATGGATTAATGGTAGGATCCCCTATAATTTACCTTAAAGGGGTGGCGATAATGATATTCCAACTTTCTGGCTTCTACTGTATCTGGACCCTCTTGGCCTTTTTTTTAAAGGACCCAACGCCCCCTGGGGCCGCAGAAGCCTCCAACTGCCAATGCGGAAGGTCTCGCAAGAGTCGCCTTACAGGGAACTCCAGAAAGTTGGAATATGGTTTCATGGTAGGATACCCTATAATTTACCATAGAAGGGTTAGGATAATCATATTCCAACTTTCTGGCTTCCACCTTATGGGAGTTGGAGGCTTAGACGGTTTAGGGTTTAGGAGTTTAGGGGTTGGGGGTTTAAGTTGGGAGTTGAAGGCTTAGACGGTTTAGGGGTTTAGGGCGATTAGGGTTTAGGGGTTTAGGGCCTTTAGGGCTTTAGGGGTTTAGGGGTTCCTGTAAGGGATTTGCAGGGATCTTTCGTTTGGGGTTGAGGGGTTTAGGGGTTGAGGGTTTAAAGGGGTTTAGGGGTTGGGGGTTTAGGTTGGGTACTGCCCCCCCATACAGTAACAGTCGATAATAGGGCTAAGCCTACTCTTAAGGTCCTAGTACTTATACCTAAGATTATGAGTATCACCAACTGTTACTGAGTGGGGGGCAGTACCCAAGGTTTAGCTTCAGGGCGGCACAGGGCAGGGCACGGAAGAAAAGGCAAGGCTCCTCTTAGACTCGTTTGGGGACTCCTAAACATCAAACCCCAAACCACTTAGAAGACCCTGTTGCTATATTAGACGTATACTACATACAGGTACATAGGGACCAAAGTATATACTATTTGGGTATTTGGACCATTAGGGAATAGTATCTTACTACCCCCAATAAAGCCACAGAAATTCAAACGTCAAACTTTCCGATTCCTGCTAAACTTTAATAACCCAGAAAGCTTGAAGGTTAGGTCTTGGGGATCTAAGAATAAAGAAACCAAAGGATAACTGTCGTTCGAAGGTTTGGGCGAACCCTAAACCCCGAAAAGCTATCCCTGTAGACAGACATGATCTTGAAGGCCTTGTGTTTAGGGGGGCCATAGCTGATTACCAAGAATCGTATTCCTTACGGTAAGAAGCACATTATAATACATCCCGCAACCAATTTCTGGTTGCCAAGGCCCTTACAATTTCCCCAAACCCTCATATAACAAAATCGCTTTTTTTTTGCGAGGCGCAAGGCTGTCTCCCACTGGGCTTTCCTGAGCAGAGCCGTGCTGGATCAGGGTTTACGGACGGTTTAGGGTTTAGGGTTTTATGTTGCGGGTCTTGTTTGGAGGAGAGGCGGGGGTGGGGATTTGCGGTATTGAGGGCTTAGGAACTTAGCGTTTGGGGTTGAGGGGTTTAGGAATAGGGCTTAGGAGTTTAGGGGTTTGGGGCTTAAAACAGGTATAAAACCACCATTGGATAAACCGGAACGCCTGAAAGCCACCCCATCAAGGTTCCCCGAGGGTCTTATAGGTACTGTTCCGGGGAATACTTCCCCAAATCATAATAGTCATTCCTAATATATAAAAATCCCTACATTCTACTATATAGGTACTTTGGACCCTCTGGGTACAGCAACCGAATCTTCAAGAGAGCCTACCACGTAAGGGTCTGCGCTACAAGGGATCTACGAGGGATCTTCGGCTTTTGGATGACGGAGCCTTTGCTTGTCTTAGCGGTAACCCCTTAGGCCTAAGGGTCCAAAGGACCCCCAAATTAGGTACTCGGTCTTCGGATAGTAGTTACGTAGGTTAGGATTTTGGAGAGTATATGATTATTGGGTACTTGGACCCTTGGGATTAGGGCCCAAGTTTAGACACGAACTGGGATCCTCGTTTACGACCCGCATCCCTAAACCCTAAACCCTAAACCATTAACGGCAAAAGGCATAAACCAATCAGAGTATGCAGCCTTACAAGATCCTGAGAAGGGCGCTACTGGTCTACCTATGGTAGAAGCCAGAAAGTTGGAACATCATTGTCCTCGTGCCCTTAAGGTAAAGTATTAGGGATCCTAGCACTAATCCTCCTGAAGCCATGTTCCAACTTTCTGGCCTCGACTGTAGAGCTCAACCGTACCTCTTCTATCCTGTCATGTGGATGGAGTTGATGATCCAGGATGTTGGGGGCAGATTTCACTAAAATCCGATTCAGTGAAGCCTGAGGACTACCTGGACCTGGACCTGAAAGAACCTACCTTTCCGGTGTTCTTGCAAATCCCATTTTCCTTTTTTCATACGAACCCTTAGAATGGTATAGGTTATTTCGAATCGGATCGTACCCCACGTACCGTAAACAAGGTAAGTGAGAAAGCGAGGCTACAAGTGGAGTCGTGAGTTGGGTCCGCAGCTACAGCTAAACCCAAAGGCCAGGCCGTCTGCAGCCTGAGAAGGAAAATCTAAACCAACCTCTAAAACTAAAAGCCTACATGGCTTTGAATCCTAAAACCCTACACGCAATTCTCAGAACAGGCCTGATAGAATTCTGAAAGCACCTTTTCAAGAAACGAAATCTAGACGTCGATTAGAGGGTTGAGGACAGGGTTTACAATTCAGGATTCAGGATTTAAGGATGTGGTGCCATCACTTGTCTTCGAAGTGACACTGGAGCAAAAGTGCAAACATCCGTGTTTTATGGTTTCTTCAAGAAATACCCTAAACCCTAAACCTTAAACCCTCGCAAGTATAAAGGTATGGTACTCAAGAACTCAGAAGATGTGTTACAACTACTGAACCCAAAGGGTCCAAGGTACCTATACAGTACAATATAGGGTTTCTTTCTATAACAGAAAATATTACACAAAATGACGATTTGGGGAAGCATTCCCCTGAATCAGTACGTAGAGCCCTTATATGTAAGTACCCTAAACCCCTATAGAACCCTTAAAGGAACCCACAAAAGAACCATTAAAGGAACCCTGATATAGGGGCCTTAATAGTTAGAATAGGTTTTTGGTGCAAATTGTGGTTTTTAATAAGGAACCCCCCAAATATTATTGGTAATTCTTGAAGCTCCTATATTAGGATCCTTGGCAGAGAAGTCAAGCAGCTTCCCACAAGCATTGATCGCCTTGCTGGCGTCCACGAGCGTCGGCTGCAGCATGTCCCGGCCTAGCCGAAAACCCAAAAGAGCCCCACCCAAACCCTAAACCTTAGACCCTAAATCCTAGACCCTAAACCCTGAATCCTAAACCCTAAACTGCCAACCCTAACTCCTAGACACTAAACACCAAATCCTAGATCCTAGACCTTGTCGATAGGGACTCTAAAAGTTCCGCGTCACACTTACCAGTCCTTTTGCAAAAAAGTTGAAACTTCCCAGGCTAAGAAAGTCCTTACTGTGAGGGTCCAAGGGCTCAATCATTAGGCACTTAGGCTTAGGATAGTAGTTATGTAGGTTACTATGTTGGAGGGCATACAAGAATTGAGCACATGGACCCTTAGGCTTAAATAAACATACCTTCAAAACTCCCTCAACCTACCTGCTTGAAAGTCTTGATTATGAAACCTAGCATCGAATTTCTGGGGACCCTGCAAGAGGAGGGTAAGGTACTCTAATCCACCACCCCAAGCCCTACGTGTTGATGATAAAAATCCTGCATTACCCATAATAAGGAATATACCCTAATTCCCCATAGCTTAGGGTCCTTAAGGTAATGCACGATTTATATCATCAACAGTAGTCTAAGGTTTAAAACACGCGCCTCAAATACAGAACCCTTATCGATCCCTGCGAGAACCCCGGGGGTCTGCTTGGAGGGTCGGGGGACTTAGTAAGTAGGTAGTAAGTAGACTTATAAGTACCCTACAAAGGACCCTATTTGGGGTTATGGTACTTATAACTCCGTAGAATAACCAGTTACTAAGTCCCCCCCCCCCCCCCCCCCCGACCCTCCAAGTGGACGCTTGGAAGCCCTCAGTCTACAACCCCACGCCCTCAAAGTCCAAAGTAATGTAGGAACCTGAATAAGAAACCTTGGGGTTCCTTTAAAGGGGTCTGTAAGGGTTACTATAAGGGATCGATAAGGGTACTATCATGTAGGAACCTGATTAAGAAACCTTGGACCTTTGTAGGGCTCCTTCTATGAAGCCTACTATATTTTGGGGTTCATAAGCCCAGGGTTTCTTAATCAGGCTCCTACACTACCCAAATCCCTAAGCCCTAGGAGTCGAACTCCCACATACTACACTCGGAATGCGTTTTCCTACTTGGAACCCTACTCGGCAAAGCCCACATGCAAAGCTCCTCATCATTCGATACACTGGAACCATGGGGAGCAGCTTAATATAAATAGCCCCTGAACCCCCGAAACCAGAAAGCCTCAAATCCTGAACCCCGAACTCTCTAAGCTGGAAACCACGCCTCAGGAAGGGTGCACCCCCGGCCAGGACTAACGAATTCCGCTGTTTGCTCGAAGCAGCACGGGCAGAGCGTTCTTCTCAGGCTTTGAAGTGGGGTATAGCGTTTAAGGTCTTTTGGAGAATTTGTTCAGGTTCTTTGAAGGTGGGACAAAGCCGGGGGATACCTAGAGCAACCGATGCACCTTGCAGCAAAGGCTCAAATCTAACTAGCCACATAGTAGGGTTCCAGGTGCCGAAAACCCTCCAGAGGGTAGTGCATGGGATCCAACACCCCCTACTACTTGGGTACGTGGACCCTCAGACAAAAAAGTGACACCCTAAACCCTACCCTACCCTAAACCCTAAACCCTAAACCCTAAACCCTAAACCCTAAACCCTAAACCCCAAACCCTAAACCCTAAACCCTAAACCCTACTATTTGGATACGTGGACCCTCAGGAGTTGGTGACACCCTACCCTAGGAGACCCAGGTCCCTACCTCATCTACCATGACCTACTTTTCGTAGGTTCCTTATGAACCCTTACATAGAACTCATAGGGACCCGGTACCTAGGAGACCCAGTGACCTGAGAATAAAAAGGCCTCTCTTTTTGGTATTGGGTAACTTTATAAGGAACCTAGGACTACAAAAAGGGAATAAGGGTACTACTGGGCATCCTAGTACCCTACTATTTGGGTACTTGGACCCTCGGGAGATAGTAATTGACGAAACGTGGTCTTTCCTGTTTGGGGTATATCTTGCCGCCGGACTCAGATACAACAAGCCCCGAACTCGGGTAAAACCCCTTGCTAAGGACCTACTTGGGTACATCTTGGCGCTTTTCTATGGGTTCAGGGATGAATTCCGCTGGCTTCTGCCAAGCATAGACATTTAGTCCAAGGGTCCTCCATGTATACTACGGTACCATTATGCTATGCGGTACCTAAAAACATTCATATTATGGTCTTTAAGACCTAACTCCATAATTCTGGTATATGCGCTTTTGGTTACTGGTAACACGCACAGCTGGCCTAAGCTCGCACACGAAAGCAAACACCGACTGCCCCCGTCTTACTGCTGATGGACAAAATCCTGCATGACCTTAAGGACCCTAAACTATGGGAATTATGGCATCTTCCTTACATTGGGTCATGCAGGATATTGTCCATCCACAGTACAACACAGCCGCAACCGAAAGCACTTGACAGCCGAATTAACGAATACGGTACTTGGAGGGGCAGGGGACTTAGTAAGGGTTCTTAACGGGCTCCTTAGAGAGATCTATAGGGTTCCTTAAACGGATCTATGGGGTTTAGGGTCTACTTGGAGGGGCAGGGGACTTAGTAAGTAGGTTATAAGTAGAGTTATTAGTACCAAAATGGAGTTACTCCAACCATCACCCTACTGATAAACGACTTACTAAGTCCCCTGCCCCTCCAAGTAGGGGCCTTAAGAAACAAAGGTTCTTAACAAGAGTCTATCCTGATCTAACACATAGCTAGTTACAAACAGCATTCAGGAGCCCCCGTACCGACTCACCCACCGCCTAAACCTACAAACCCCCATGCCAACCCGTGCAAGTCCGTAACATTCCACCTTATTACAAAGCAAGCCATATGGGAGTTTCCGAAAATAGGGGACCCTAATATAGTACCCTAAATAATAGGATCCTTATTATAAGGACCCCCAAAATCAGGTACCCCTGTTTTCGGAAACCCCCATATGAATCCCGAAACCACCCTTAAACATCCTTCAATAGAAAACACCTAAACCCTACCCTAAGCCGGAAAAACCAACCTTTCGAATAGCTTGTATAAGGAAGCCACGATAAGGAAGCCTGAAAGAAAGATTATGCAGGGTTCTCGAAAACCGTGTAAACCCTGAGCTCGAAATGTAGAACTAAACCCCAAACCCTATACACCCTGAACCCCGACAAAACCCTAGACCTAAACCCTAAACCCTACAAGCCCTGAACCAGGAACTCAGTGCCGTCCTTTTTTGCTTCAAGTCTCCGGGCCAATCCGGTGAGCCGCCTGCAGCCGAGGCTCGTTACCCTTACTTGGAGGGTAGGGGTTCTTTAAGGGTTCTATAGGGTTGTCTTTAAGGGCTCTATTAGGGTTCTAGGTTTCCTACTTCGAGGGTCGGGAGACTTAGTAAGTAGGTAATAAGCAAACTTATAAGAAACCTGAAACGGGTCCTAATTGGGGTTATGATACTTATAAGTCTGCAAGATAGCTACTTACTAAGTCCTCCGATCCTCCAAGTAAGGGTCCATGTAGCCAAATCAGGGTTGCTTTAGTGGTTCCTCTCAAGCGTTCTATGAAGGAGTTATGGGGTTTGGGGTGTTCCAAGGGCTCTACAAAGATGCTATGGGGCTTGGGGGTGTTCCAACGGCTCTATAAAGGTTTTATGGGGTTTTAGGGCATTAGGATCCATGTAGCCAACTAGTGTATACTTCGGTGTTATTCATGTAGCCCCTTGTATACGGGTACTTTGGGGCCAAGTATGTACCCTTTGAGCTAGGGTTTTGTGTAGGGTTTAGGGCTTGTGGTTCGTGTGAGACCTAGTATACCATCATCATCTAACCAGTTCCAACATTTGTGCTGCTGCTGGCGAGTTATACACCTATGTCGGATGCTGCAGCGGCACACCCTAAACCCTTGACCCGCATCGTCGTCATTGCCATCATGGTTGCCATAGTTTTTCCTCTGTCATCGGTGGTCGTCGTCGACAGTGTCATGCTCCAAAGGTGAGCTTTGACACCTTTGATTGCCCTATCCGGTGCCGACAACATCCCCTATCAGCCTTCAGGTTCATGCCCTTAACCCCACCGTTACGCTCCAAAACCTACTTAGACCTACTTGTTCTCTTAGGGCCCCTCCAAATTCGAACATACTTCCGTAAAACCTTTTTGATTCTGTTTGGGTAGCCTTAATCCAAGGGTAAAAGGAGGGACCCTTACTAAGGACCCCTAGGTATATACCCTTAATATAGCTATATGATATACCCATGATATAGCCCATTATAGGGACCCAGGGGTCCCCATTAAGGGTCCGTTCTCTTCCCCTTTGAAACAAAAACCCTAAACCCCTAAACCCTAAACCCTACCCAACCTCGAGCTCAACTTCTGTTGGGGTAGCCTTACTTGGAGGGTCGGGGGACTTAGTAAGTAGGTAGTAACTAGACTTATAAGTACCCTAAAAGGGACCCTAATTGGGGTTATGGTACTTATAAGTCCCTAAAACAACCAGTTGCTAAGTCCCCCGACCCTCCAAGTAAGTAAACCCTGATCTCCTCCCTCTTTCGCCTGATGCCAACTTCATGAGTTGCCGCGAGCAGAGCGGGCGCCGGAGCCGTGCCGCGGCGCAAGGAGGCAGAAACAACCTTGTTAGGCGTTTCGCTTCAGGACGTAGGTTTAGGGTTTCTCTAAGGGACCTTCGGTGAGGGCTTGGGGCTTGGAGTTTGGGTCTTAGGTATAGGGCTAAGTTTGGATGCAGGTTAACTGTTTGAGGTCAGAAGTGGTTTTCTGTGTATTTCTCTACTGTGTCATACCCCAGGTCCCTACCTCATCTACCATGACCTACTTTTCGTAGGTTCCCATTATGAACCCTTACATAGAACTCATAGGGACCCGGTACCTAGGATACCCAGTAACCTAAGAATAAAAAGGCCTCTCTTTTGGGTATTGGGAAACTTTATAAGGAACCTAGGACTACAAAAAGGGAATAAGGGTACTGCTGGGCATCCTAGACTAGGGTACC